CCTCAGAGAGATTAGTGCCGAGTTACCTGCCTCAGAGAGATTAGTGCCGAGTTACCTGCCTCAGAGAGATTAGTGCCGAGTTACCTGCCTCAGAGAGATTAGTGCCGAGTTACCTGCTTCAGGTTTTGGATTATTGTGACTATATAGCTTATCTGTGGTACAGCAACTGATACATCATCAACATCACTGATGCATTTTTCAAGCCAAACCATTGCCTCTCCTCTGTGGGACCATTGCTATATAACACACTTAAAAAAAGGAACCCCTTAATGAATTCCATAATTCTTGTGAAAGTAATTCCCTTCAGGCAAGCACAGCTTTTCTTTTTTTCCTTTCTGAAAACTGCATATAATTCATCCAACTATAAAACATCTAATTATTGTTCAGTAAAATAATGAAAAATATTTGGAATATTGATTTAGTTTATATAATAACACTCACAAATAATTACAAGGCGAACTGATGCAGTTTGTAGGAAAACAATAAAACCTTCCCTGTCTGCCGAATGCTGTCGTATTGATCCTCACGGTTTGACCGCAGCAGCTCTGTGGAGGAAAATGCCCTTTTTATTACCTGCATGGTGGAATGGGGGGTCAGCAGCTCCACCACAAAGCTTGGCCTGAACCACATGGAGCTCCACCGGAAGTCTGGACAGATGCTGAGATCTCTGCATCCTCCTGGACTTCAGGTAACACACCTCACCCAGGTCTACAGATCACATGTGGTCACCGTGGACAGGGTCACAGAGCAGTTGCCCCACTGGGCTTCTGTTCTTGGCACCCAAATGACACAAATCCAACCTTAGGAGCTGCCAGCAGAACCTTGTGGAATTCAATTCAATCTATTTTTATATAGCACCTTTCACTACAGAGTTGCCCCAACGCACTTAATGGAACGGAATGTGACAGACCAGCACATCAACAGGCCAAGAAAAGCAGGACAATTCCGGTAAGCAGAACTACAAGAATCATCCATCAAGTTCAACCATCTGCTCCATAAATATTAATGCCGAATACCTTCACCTCAATAACCATAGAGAATAATATGCAGAATATCAAAGTGAATGCATTTAATTTGTCCATTCCAAAAGGAAGTAGGATGACATTATGGGATAGCCACATTAAGCAGGTAACCTAAGTGGTTTCCCTAATTGTACACTGTCCGAACAGGTCATGGGCACTTTAAACCCCTAAAATGCCATTCTGAGTACTGCCAGTACTTTCTGATGTGTTCTTATGTTATTAGCTGTTGTACACTGTTCAGCTATTTATACACTGCCCATGTTTTTATTTTCATTTTGCAGTGTTTCTAAGGTATGCTTCAAATGCAACCAAAAGGCCTACAAAACTAATATATTCATTTAAAGATGCCTAAAACTGTCTGAATCCAATAATATAGATCTTTCTGCTTCAAGCAGCCCACAAGCTCCAAGCTGTGACTTGTATCGGGTTTAAAGAGTAGCATTTCCAAACCGACAGACCCTCTGTGCCGTCATGTCCAGGACCCAAGCTAGATCACAGGGCTCCATGCACATTGGGTATGTCCTGTACCGTCCCATGAAATTCACAGGAATCCATAAAGGCGCCCCCCCCCCCCCTCCACGCCGGTAGGTGGCGCTGCGAGCCAGAGCGCACGGAATATCTGCGGCCTGTGTCTTTAAGCCGAGAAGGGGCGGTCTGTGTCTTTCGGCGGGCTGGTTTGTTTGTGTGTATTCCTAATTTCGTTTTCGCATGGAGGGAAATGGAAGTCCGGAGTTAGAAAAGCCGGCCGTGGACTTCCCGGCCGTGCTGGCAGTGGCGAACAGCATGATCGCCGACTTCGGTCTGGTGTTGCTGTGCCGTTACTTTAATATGGGCCAGCATGAGCGCTTCAGGGACTGTCTGCGCTGGCTGGAAGGTACCGGCGGGCCTTTGGGGTGTGTCCATGGGGCCGGGGACCGGGAGCCAGAACAAATCTGACGGCCTGGCGCAATATTTTCACGGAGGAGGGAAGGGAGTAGGTGGCGACGGTGCAAGTTTTCGACAGGCTAGTCATACATTTCCGAAAGTTAGCCTACAGTCTACCAAACTATAACTAGGTACAGAACTTCTTGTTGCTAATATAGCTTCCGTGGATTTAACAAGACCTAAACATAGACCGCCAAGACGCACTGTGACCCCGTCACTGACCGCGTGCCGAGGTGCACAGGGACGCATTTAAACACACATGTTTAGGAGTGTAAACGCTAATACGGTCAAGATGAGGACAGGTCAGTGACTATATCCGAACGAAAGTGTTTAGCTGGACACCTTGGAGACGCATGACAAGTAGTCTGTAGGGTTTGCAAACTACCCGCAACGTTTTTGATGTAGCTGATTTTACGGACAAAACGGAATAATATAGAATAATTGCCGTAAGATTTCATGCGTGAGAGTCTGGTAGCGGGAGTGTCACGCCGAGTCCGTGAGAGCCGGCGGCCCTGCGATGCGTCTCGGCTGCCTGCGTATGATCCCAAGACGCATTTTAAAACGAAGTGTAAACACGGCCTTCAGCACCTTCTGCGTCGTCAAACGACTTTTCATTGCGTTTCATATGGATTTCCATCTTCACGGAGGAAAGTTATTAGCTGCTATCAACGCTACTGTGTACTGTCCTTATATTGGCAAAAAAGCAAGTCCCGACAAGTGCTTTTTGAAAGCAGGGCATGATTGACACGCTCGTAAGGTGACGGACGGTGGGCTGGTTTGGATGTCCATCTGCGCCTTCTTGCAGGTCGCAGTGAGACTTAGAGAAGATTTGAGCCATTGGGTAGGCAGACGATCTTTAGCCATGCCCAATGGGACTGGGATAATAGGCTGTTTTTCTTTAGAATCATTTGGTGATTATTTTTGGGTGGAAGACCCAGTAGTGCCTATAATGCAATTAATTCAGGATAAATGCATTAAAATGGTTAGGGTTAAAACTCCTCTCTCGTCTTTGTCTTACTTCGGGCATGTTTGGGCGGACCTACACCTGCTTCAGCTTTCCAGAAGGCATCTGAGCAGCTTCAGAGGGACCACAAGAAGAAGCTGACTGTCTGCAGCTTTCTTGCGCGGGTTGTGGATGGGAAAGAGCAAGGTAACCCAGTCTCCTGAAGCTAGAGTTTGGGGTCAGTGATTGAGGGCATGGCCCTGTCATGGCTTCAGTAACTTTTGTGAAGATGCCATGTTCACCGGAAAGAGAAGAGCACAGAAATATTATGTGTTGCTTAATATTAATATTGGCATTGCATGTTGTGCACAGGCAATTCTCACATTGCATGGACCGTTATCTGGGATGAGGGCGTTATCTAATTTTTCATACCATCCAGACATTATACCATGGTATGTGGTATTTTCAAACTTTAAGTACTTTTTTTTTCTTGGGTCCCATTGTTCAAAAGTATTCTGATAAGATTTATGCTATAGCATTGGACAAATCTTTTAAATGGGTTCAAAAGAAATAAATGATTCTGTAATTGGATTAAATCACCTAATCAGTCACAGTTTTGATCTGGATTTAACTTTTAGTATGTGTTGTTCAGAACGTTTTAGATGTACAGTGGTACCTTGGAACACAAACTTAATTCAGCTTTCCAGAAGGCAACTTAATTGAGTTGCGATTTGGTCGAGGTCCAAGTCGAATTTCCCCATAAGAAATAATGTAAATGGATTTAATCCTTTCCAGACCCTGAAATAACTGTCTATTTAAACTTATCTATCTACCTAATTAATGATAAAAACCATTGACAATCAATATGAAACTAATACAGACATGTAAAAGCCCACATACCAAAGCGATAAACATGAAATAAGTCAAGTCTCGCTGAAATTTCCTTTTTAAGTTCTACAGTTACTCTCACTACTTTCCTCTTTGGTTTGCTGCTATCACTGCTCACTTTCTTAGGGGCCATGATTACTGTATTGTTAAATGTACTGTAGATAAAGCACAAAAGAATTCATACCCAACCCAGGAACACACGTGAAAAGGTACCGCGAGACTGAGAGCTTTTCATTGGCATCAGCATCCCAGTAGGTCCATTTGCCTTTATGTCAGCCCATCAGAGACGCATCTCAGTCCGTACAAGTTTTAGCAGATCTGTTTTGCTTTGTCGTGTTCCAAGTTTTCAGTCAAGATGCGGTTAGGTTTTTCTTGTCCAACCCGTTTGAGGTCCGTATTGGTAGAGTTAAATGCATCTTGACCCATAAAAGTTTTAGCAGGAACGGTTGAGTTCCAAGATTTAGGTCAAGGCACAACAAAAAAAAAAAAATAATAATAATAAAAATTCAAGTTCCAAGGTCCTGCTGTCTACTACGTTTGAACAGAATATTCAGGATTATGCTGATCCCAGCAGAAAGGTTGATTCAGGTTGGATTTCAGAAACAAAATGTAATAAAACTTTAAAATTGGTGAAATACAACATTTAGTATCATGTAATACATATACATTTATTTGTACTTTGCACTTAATTTGTTTTACTGTTACAGTGATGAAGTAGATGTTAAGCTTCCTATTAAACCTTATAGTAAAGTAAAAAAAATAGGACTTTGTCCCCATAAAATAATTCCCCAAACTGCTGTCGATATCAAACAAAAATAAATGCATTTTAACTGTCATTTATCGTATATTAATTAGTAACACAATCAGAGATGAACCAGTGAAAAGTAGTTTTTAACAATTACACCCAGAGCTTCAACAAGTTGGTATCTTCACAAATGCACTGTGGAAATTCTTTATTTTATTCACTATTGGATTTTTAGACTTTTTATGATTTAAAACGCTTGCTCAAAATACCCACAATGTATTTTTGAATAATATATATTTGTTTGTTTTATTTATTTGTTGTGGGTAAGATGAGGGTTCTGTTCCTAACAGAAATTGAACATAGACAGGGATGTTTGTATTGCTTTATTGTGCTGTGTACTGTCTCTTCAAAAAACATTTAAAGTGACCCTGTACTGGCTATTCTTCCTACTGTTCATTTCATAGATAGTAGCCTTGATTGTGATATGTAGTCACATTTAGAACACCGTAAATCTGGATTTGGTAATCTCAAAGTCTATCTGGATCAGAGTGATCCAATCCAATGTTACTTTGAAAGCACAAAAGTAAGATGGATTACCTGATCCTGGATAGCAAAACACTGGATTTCCAAATGGGGATAATTTTGATTCACGTTACACTTTTGAACAGCATGGCCTTGGCAGTAAAATTTGTGGGCGAGAAGGTCCTTATAAGATTCACTCATTGAAGGTCATCAATAAATTCCGCTAAAACATTTTTACTCTTTCATAGGAAACAAAGAAATGGTTGATAAGACGTGAAAATATTTAGGTTTCCATAGAAACCATATTGAGCGAAAGCAAGTGATTTGTCAGACCAGGTCAAGGCAACACCACCAACTAACTTGACGGACTCTCTTGGTAGATAAGTTCTGTTTGGCTGTATTTTATTTTGGGTACATTTTCATCTCATTTTTGCTTTATAAATGTTGCAGTATTTTCCAGTATTGTGTAGCCCTAGCAGTGGTGTCTGAAGCTCCTAAATGGAAGTCCTTTCCAAAGAAGCTTTGTGGGAGACCAAAGGTTCACATCTTCCTCATCTCGCTCTGAGTTAGAGGATTAATTGTCTGTTGACCCCAGTCTCCCGTGACTGCAGTCTTAACATTAACCTTTCGAAATATGCTAGATGCCTGCGTCTGTTCTGGGACTGTCCACACGCCCGACTGCTAACTATATTATATATATTTATTTTAACTCTTTCTAGATGTCCAATATGACAGTGATGAGCGAATAACCCCATTGATGTCAGCCATTCCCCTCTGGGAGTCCCTGCAGGACGTGGTGGTGGATAAAGCCCTCTTCAACAACATCAAGAATTTGCTTTTTATCCAGGTGGGGGGGTGGTGTGTGGCCAGTTTAATCATAAACTCCCCTGAGAGGTAGTTTTTCTTTTTTGAAGTGCACAACTGTTTCCTGGAATTCCATCCTTCTCTGCTGTCGCTGTTCGCGATGCATGTTTGGCTGGCCTCCTGTGTCTCATGCGCTGCTTATAGCGCCCCCTTCTGGCATTCCCTCTTCAGGCCGTGGCCGTGCATGTGGAGAGAGGTGATTACGTCAAGGCACAGTGGGTCCTGGACTGGCTGAAGGAAGAGTTCATCTTTTCCCCAGTAAGTTTACCAAACCTGCTGTTGTGTGCCCTTCTCCTCTAGGGGGCGCCTTTCTGATGTGTTTTGAGATGGTCATGTGATGTATGCTGGCCAATCCCGAAGCAGGATGCAACCCCCCCCCCCCCATCTGCAGCATTGGGCAGATGCTGTCCTGCACACTGCTATACTCCGCAGCACATGTGCTGTACTTTGAAAGTTACCGATACTCCCACATGATCCCTCAGAGGAGCCGGCCTGAGGTCTAACAGCCCACGTCCCGCCTTACATAACACATTAGTGAATCTTTCTGGCATGTCTGAGAGAATTACGCCAGCGGGGGGGCATCCCTGGGAGGTTGTTAGCTATTCACAGGATGTGCCAGATGTATTCAAGCAGTGGGCTTGTCTGGGAGATGCACTGAAACCTGCGTTTGAAGTGAGTCTGCTGGCTCTCAGTAACTGTGGTTTGTATATACTGTATATTATATAATATAGACTGTGATTGGCATGAGGCAGGAACCAACCGGCTGTTGCATGATGCACATTCAGTCTCACATATGGCCAGTTTAGGCAACTCCAGTTCACTTAAGTTTAATGTTTCTGGGCAGCGGAAGGAAACAGGAGGATCTGCAGAAAAAGCCACACGCACACAGTGGTGAACATACATGCACATGTAACTTACATCGCAAGGACCGTGATAGTCTGCTGGATTCAGTCCATCCAAGTTGCACTGAAATATTTTTACTCAGTCTTAGGGAACAGAACTTGGCAAGCTTTTCAATTTTAAGGATGGTTGCTTTTCAGCATTATCGTGTGTGTGTGTGTGTGTGTGTGTGTGAGAATCAGTCTAATATTTACCATTGCTGCTTCTGCATGCGATCTTTGCTATTGGACTCATTCATAGACTGTTCTCAAAAATAATTATGTTTAATATGTACCATATTATGTAAGATGACAGCTAAGGGATGGGGCTAACCTTTGTTTTAGCAGAGATTATTTTGACATACAGAAATTGTAGAAAGTGAATTAAGGGAAATGCTTTAAGTAAATGTGATGACAGACTGGCTAGGCTATGGCTAACCTCATTATTGGGTGAGTTCTTCAAACCTGAATGTCTTAAGAATTTGTACTGCGGTTGGTCTGTGGTGATAATTAAGGCCTGCTTTGTAATACTGACAGACTGCATTTTAATTCAGTGTTAATGTTAAGTGCTTCCACACCTATGATGCTTTTGCTCCACCTTCCCTCCACCGTATTTTCGAGTGATCGAAAAGGAAAATTTTAAATGACCCTTTTCAATAATCAAGTAATGAGGTTTAATCGAGTAATCATGACCGCTCTAGCTGCATGTGCATAGTGTGATCAAGTTTGTTGTGATGCTTGTGATTTTTATTTGGCAGAATCTGAAGATGAAGCTCTCCATGATTCTCAACAAGAAGGATGCGTACCATACGTTTCTGACGACCTTCAGCTTTGTCAGCTTGGTGGAGAATATAAAGGTGTTCTTGGACCAGTTCCTGGAGGATCATCCCTCTGACTGTATCTTTAAGGTGCGTCAGACCATCTCATGGCCAGCCTTGCAGGGGCCACGCTGATTTACTTAGGCTATGTGTGACTATAGGGATGTTGGTTCTTCTTGATGCCTGTTTAATGTCAGCTTGTATCTGGGGGTGGGGTGTCATTTGCAGGGTAGTTGAGCCCCTTTATGTATAAGACAAGCACACAAAGTCCTTGTGACCAACATGCCCCTCATCACAGGTGCCCTTATTCTTCTGCTCAAGTACCTGGTTGATGCATCCTTAAGCAAAAGTAGACATCAGCAGCCGTTAGGTAGTTAGGATCTCGCTGGAAAGCCAAGCCTGCTTTCTCCAGAAGCCCTGTCTCTGATATAGCGGCCCATTTAGTTAATACATGACATCTGCTGACTTCTTTAGAGATGTTGTCATCCTATTGGTTTTGGAAGGTTTGCTAAAAGGACGGCAAACACAAGGACAACGCATGTGTGCGTGTGTGTATATGAACTTGAGCATGTACTGCCCTTGTTGAAATTAATTTTCTCTGGGAAGCCACATAATGTATGATGGTGACCCTAAATCCACCCTCATTACCCTTTATTGTATTTTACTTCCTGGCTCGATGGAGCTGTGGATAATACCAGAAACTGCTCAAGCTCTTAATTCCTTTATACTTTTTCTTGGCTCAAATGGCCAATTATAAATATGGTAATCATTTGCGATTAATCAAAATCGCAATTATTGTCATGAATTTGACACCTATTAAAAATGTACTTATGTGCAAATATGCACATAGTAGATGTGTAATGAAACAATTTTTAGAGGTGAGTGGGCAACCATATAAATTTGACAAAGGGAGCGGAGCGCTCCCTGTACTGTGGGGCGATCTCACAGTGACCCTGCACTGGGTCTAGGGCTGGGGACCGAACTTCAGTACTTTTGTGGTACCGATCGAAATGCTCCAGTCCTCTCGGGAATTAAAAAAAAAAAATTCTTTCAGTGTCAAATTCCAATACCCAAACAGTAAATATCCGCATCTGTGAGCTAAGAAGCATGCAGCATACGGCTGTTAAGACGTAATGTCGCTGGTGATTGGCTGTTTAACATAATATGCCAGTGATTATTAGCGGGATAACAGGGGTTACAGCGTTTTTGTAGTTTGTGGGAAATGAAAGATCGATCTGCTGGCCAGATTTATTTGTGAATTATAAACATGTTATGGGTCATAAGTGATGTGAGGGCTCTCAAATCACATGCACTGACTGTGAGACACACACATGTCAACCAGTTCACGCACTCGCACACCACACCTTGTGTTTCTCACACTGAGAAATAAGGGTTAACACCCACCAATGTGTCCTGTTATATAGGATTGATGGGCGAGGCGCCGGCATATGGAGTGGAATTTTCCACCAAGTTCATGACTGTCCCAGTCGAGTTAAATAGCCGTCTACCAGCCAATCAGATAATAGCATTTGTTGCATGTGATCCTGCTGCATGAATGTGCACCAACACATGGAGTGTAAACACGGTGGAAGTGGCAGAGCAACATCCGATGAATGCAGTAGGCAGGGCTTTAAGGTGTCACACATTGACCTGAGAAACACGTTGCGTCTCTAACAGATGTAATCTTACTTCACACTTCTGATGAAACTTGAGATCCCTGGTGATATATAAATAAAAGGCGGCGTCCCTTTATGATCGCGATCGATCACCCCAATAACTAAACCAATAACTGACAAACTGACTTGTTCAAATAAAAGATGAGTGCTGTAATGTTTAATGTATTCTTGATGTTGTTGAAATTGATTTACAGACATAATCGTATTTTAAAAAGTATTGTCCAGGAACCGGTATTGAAATCAAGGTATCATTCTGGTACTGGTATGGAAAAATTCCGAACGATGCCCAGCCCTAGCTGTGTGCATGTGCTTAAGCACATCAGCCTTGTTGTACATAAAGAGCTTTTAAAGGCTGAGACACAGTTAGATTTTTTCATGCAAACCAGCTCAGCGGGAAAACAGAAATGAAATACCCCCCCCACACACACACACACACACACAGCCAGTGTGTGGCTCACTGGGTTCAGAGGCTGTGCCTCTGATCAGAAGGTTGTTAAATCCCAGGGTCAGCAGAGTAATATCAGTCAGTACGTTTACATGCACACTAAGACAATCGAATTATTGTGTTAGTCTGTCTAAAACTGTTTAAAGTTCATGTAAACATTTAATTTTAGTACGGACTAATGTGATTGGAAGTTGATTTACTCCTGCATGTACAGTATATGTTCAGTTGGACTCAAACTGCCCTAGATGCTGAGTTCCCATCCTTGCATGCATTTCCATCCTTGCTGTTTAAATCACTCCTGGACCTGTTAGTGAAAAATTTGTTAAAATCCTTTTTAATTTCATAAATACCCCAATATGTATTACAACAAAATCACATTGCAATATTTGATAAATTTCCAATACCGTACTGTCATAGTTTATTTTACAAAATACTATTTCTTGTTATGCTATCCTGAAAAACTAAGTTTGAGTTGCTCTGTTTGTTTGTCCTCCCTCCCTGTCATGTTTGCTCCTCCTGTGGGCTGCATGGAACTTGTCCAGGTTGGTTGCTTTCCCCTAGTTTGTGTGTGTGTGTGTGTGTGTGTGTGTGTGTGTGTGTTCCCAGTGCAAAGGGGAATTTACAGCATGTGCATTGCTGTCAAACTGCAGATTGTCCTTTATTGGTCTGTCTGCCTGGCAGCAGACAGGAGGCCCTGTACAAAAGGCAGCTGAAGTTAAGTCTTAAAGTACCTGAATCCATCTGTGGTGGGAGCTTCATATTGCATGTCTGGTGGATTTTTCCTCTATGGGAGTGGTTGCTTGATGGAAACCTCCTCCCTCCCCCTGCAGGCAGCGTCAAAGGAGACACAGTCACGTCTGGAAGCAGGGCAGATGAGCAGCGGGGATGAGGAATCCTCAGAGAACACGAAGGAGCCATCCAGGTAGTGGTGAAGCTGAAAGTCCGTGGTCTGCCTCGCGCCGTCTGCCTCGCGCCGTCTGCCTCGTGCCGTCTGCCTCGTGCCTTCAGACTGGTCTTCCGGCTGCTTTATCCTTGACTTGGCTGTTTTGTTCTAGGATGGACGAGGCAGAGACGAAACTCAAGGCATCAGATCTAAATCAGTGAGTTCAGTGGATTGAGTTTATTTTTCAAATGGTTGAAATTAATAAAAATCCACAAAATTGCATATAGTTGTCATGCTGACCTTTTAACCTGACCCCCACCCCCCACTTCCTCCCTCAAATAGAACTGTGGGGGCCTCAACGTCCTGCCACTTAAAAACAAGGTAAGAGCCCCATTTAATGCCTGCTGATGTAAGCAGGGATCTTGTGTTTCTGTCCCAGACTTATTGTATAGCCGTTAATTTGCTGCTGGATAATCTTCACCTGTTCTTGAAACACCTTCATCTGGCAGCCTGACATTTTGAAAATCATTTTGCCTTTTTGTTTTCTCAAGTCAGATTTCACCTTAGATGCTTCTGAATTAATTGCCATGGCTAACTGATGATCAGTCAGAGATGCTAGTCTTGGTGTCTTTCTCTGAAAGGGGTGTCACGGCCTCTGATAAATGTGGGCCTGGAATCATTCATCCTGAGCAGCTACCCATGTCTGCTTGTGGAGAGCTCCGCCATAAACCTTGTAAAATAGCGGCATGATGTTTTTTAATGTATGACCATCTGTGTCACTTAGACGAACATCAAGCAAACAATCTTCTGTAATGTCTTCTTTTTTTCCTTAGGGCAAAAAGAAGTTTATTTCCTAAACACAATATTTTGCCGTGGAGACCAGACAGCAGCAAGAAACCTCGAAGTAGCCATCACACGCACTTTAACATGAGGGGCAAGTGTTTGCACTTATTTTCTGCTTTTATTAATAAATGTTGGCATGGCTACCTATGTGCTGTGATGTCCTTGATACTTTGCCATCTTCCTTATGCCCGTTGGCCTGTTGCTGATCCTTTGAGGACAGCTCACAGGATCCACCATAACATTCCCTCTGCTGAGAAAGATGCATGACTGTATGTATCTCGTAGGGAGAGACCGTTCTACCTGCCAGCCTTCCCAGCTGCAGAAGTCGGCAAATCCATCAAGTAGAGCAACAAGAAAGGTTTGTGTCCCTTTGGATGAATTTCTTTCGCTGCTCGATAATTTCTTGGTGAATTTATCAACGCTGTGACCGTAGTGTGTGATGTGATGTGTGAGTGGGTCACGTGGTTGGACGTGGAGTCTAGGTGATCACATTTCTCTCTGACTGTATGCAGAAATGGACGTATGAAGAAGACCGGGACTTGAAGAGCGGCGTGTTCCGTTACGGCATGGGCAACTGGGCCAAGATCCTGCAGGAGTTCGACTTTGAGGACCGCACCAATGTCATGCTGAAGGATCGGTGGAGAACACTGCAGAAGCAGAAGAAGGTGGGAGGGAGGTGATGAGCTGGACAGGGGCCAGGGTGCTCACGCCAGCCCTGATCCCACACCGTCAGCATCCTGCGGCCCTGCAAGTCTGGGTGAATCTCTTAGGTCCCTGTTTTTGTGACCAAAAGACCCCATTGGTCACTTCAGGCTTCGCGTGAATGCAGACTTGGGTTCACCATCTCCCCCTTCAGAGAGATTACTTCCATGGCTCTGTCATGTACTACAGAAATTCCCTGCCACCGATGGTTTTCCAGAAAGTACCACCATCAGACTGAATTGAGGGAGCTGCATCGCAGCATAGGGAGCCTCTTACGGTGGAATTACAATTCATGGTCAGAAGTAGCTTTTCATGGGTTCCCCAGTTTGAAAAAATAAACATTTAATCTTTTTGAGTATTCGTTTTATTTCTTTTTAAGCACACAGAACATTTTGTGTGTTTCTTTCAACATACTTTGCAAAGTGCAGCAACCGTAAGCATTTCTTGAAGCCACCAGAGGGTGCCAGAAATGTCTGAGCATTTTAATTTTGTTAGATACTTATTAAAAGCAAGTATTGGTCTTTTTGTTTTGGCCACTTTGTACCACACCCTCTCTAGATACATACCAAGCCTCTGTCTTTGACATATTCTGCATTGACGATATTCTGTTTTTGTCAACCCTCATAAGATTTATCAGAGCTTAAATAGAATATTTACTCATGCTAGCAAAATAAGTAAAAATCAGGTTACAAGCTAAATTTATATACATTTAATTGTCAGTTGGTTTGGGGCAATTAGTGTTTGGTCGTTTTGTTTGTGTATAACCATGGTATAGTCTTTGGAGAGGCTGGCCTGCATTGAGAGATTTTGACTGCAGATAAGGTATCGACGTGTGTACTCAATTTGGAAAATACTGGTTTATGGTTGTTAACATATTGGTTGTTATATATTTTTTCCCTTGCAAACAAGCTGACATTACCCTTGTGATTTGTGGATAGTCTTATCGTAAGACTTCAGATGTTGAAACAAGTGTTTTTGCATTGCCAGCAAATGTAAAATTCTTTAAAGATTTAATGATTCACCTCTAATGCCATCTGAGGATTTCTCTACATCACTGATTACCTGCTTTGTAAAGGAAACAAGTCTCGCAGGTACTGTATCCTGCGGGCATAGGACCGGCCCTCCACCGTGCAGTAGGGAAACAGCCTGGTTATGCCAAACTCCACGGAGTACCTGCCTGAATCAGGTGGGGCTGGGCCTGGGTGCGAGAGACTGCCTTCCCCAACACCCTCAGGATTTCATGGACTGTGTCACCACAGTGATTGTCACGCCTAGCATCCGAGCTGCTGTTTCTGATATTTCCCCAGACTCACACGGTGGTCAGCGATGAGTTACCATTATCCCCCCAGGCTGGGCACAGAGAGGACAGTGTACCGGGTCATGCTGTAACATCACACAGTGACACGTACCCTTGGCCTGCCGGATCTCCTTATATGTCCTTTTGGCTCCGCCCCCTGCCATACTTAGCCGAAGTGTTGAAGGCAGGACCTGAGGGGGCATGATGGTGAAATATGCAAATCTGGATTCCCCCCCCCCCCCCACACACACACACACACACACACACACACACACACACACACACACACACACACACACACACACACACACA